ATATGCATGTTTATTTAAGAACAAATTATGTAAAGAAAAGAATGCAATGAAAAGATACAAATAGGACAAATCATCACTTTGCTTCATATTGGTGCTTGTGCTTAAGTTGAAATAAAAATTGTGTAATAGATAATGATGATCAATGTATTACTTTTTTTGGCACAACCAAAGTAAGTTACACTTTTATTAACTTTTTTATTATCTTGAAATTGACCCTGCGCTATAAAAAGGCTAAGCACGTTTTCACAGACTAAAGCAGTGTCTACAACAAGAGTCTTTTGTGTGACTCATTTTGCTCCCTAGTTTCATATGTGAATCAGTATATTATGAACGTGCCACTAGCAGGGGTCTTGATCCATAAAACATCAATGCTGATGACTTAATGCCTTGAAGTTTGTACATAAAAATGTAACCGGTAGATGTTGAAAAATACAGTGCTGTTATGAAGTATACTCTTGCAGAGATCATACTTAAAGCACGTCAGATATAATAAATGAACACTCAGTTGTGTTTGACGTGCAACAAAAACCTCATTGGTTCTTGTGCATCAAGCATGCACATTTGAGCTTCTGTTTACCATAGTTGATGTTTGTTGATTATGTAGACTTTCATAGGTTGAACAAAAATGATGAGAGAATATTCAAACTCGATGTGTGATGACGTATGAGTCTGCAAATGATGACAAAATGGTAACTTTTCTTTTTTCTAAATCTTAGAACCTAAATACCTGCATCTCATTTAAAAGTTGACAGGAGAAACAGGTTTCTCTTTTATGCACATTATGAATGTAATATAGCAAACTGACTTAGTGAGTATGGCAATGGCTTTTGTGTTGCATTCTGGGAATTTCTATGGAATAAAAATCTGTGCACTGAAACAATTTCGACAACGGCAGACTCCTTGGTAGTGCACTTACTAGTGAATAAGGTAGCTGATTAAGATGCACATCTGCTGTTTGTTTGTTTTTTAGTTACTAAGTAATACTATTTTAGTCTTCCAACTTGAACATTTCAAATTTACTTTAATGTGTTACTTGCCATTTCTTTGTATTTTTTTTTTTTTTGTGAAATTTGCTAGCAATTTTAGGTGAAAATTGTTGCAAAGTAAAGAGAAATCATGATATCAGACCTCCAAAATTAATGGTATCTTTATTAAATGGTATTAAATATGCAAACACACGCACATACAATAAAAATGACAGAATGTTTGGGTGAAAAAGGGATTCTCGTCAAATATCTATCTATATAGTCTTCTCCTCCAAAACAAAAGAATACAAAATAACTACTCACCCAATAAAATTCAGTATGTACACCAGAAAAATAGTGTTTTTATATCAAAGAAGGAATATATTTTCAATATGCGTTGTTAGTCAAACACAGAAAAAAACAACAACTATACAAATAAAATCTTCGCAAAAGACAACAATGGTTGGAAACGGAGCTTATGACATGCACGATAGAGGAGGCTGTGGTGATGTATTTGTGGGCCGTCAGTCAGCTGTAGGCATGTGCAGAGCTCCCGCGGGCTTCGACATGTCCCGCAGATTTTCGTGTTTTTGTGCAGGTTTTACTAGTGCGAGTTTGATTTATTAATTGCTTTGCGTCCCTGACAGATTAAGTGGTTTTTCTTACAGTAATAAAACCAGCCTGCACTTAGTGGTGTCATACTGCGCCACTCCACAGTGCGGGGGAAAGGGTTCAACGTTTTTTCATTCAAAGGGAATGAAATGGGACGGAACATACAATAGCTAGCATGATCCATCTGGGAGTTCATATATCATGTGTTTCAGCCTCAAAGAATAGTGCTAAACGGCCGTGCAAAGGTTATACACACACACAAAGGTGATTTGAAGAAAGGATTCGGTTGAAATACAACGAAGTCGAAGCATGCCACGCATAAAACAAACAAAAGAAACAATTTTTCTCTGCAAACAGGAACAGAGAAAACACATTGTCGTTTGGCAGAGAGAGGGCACTTTGGAAGGTTTACTTAAATCAATCCTACCTTTAATGTTTTCTCAAAATGTATGTTCTTTTTCTATACTAAGCTGACAGATTGTTTATCCATTGAGATGTTGAATGGATAAAGCTAATCTTTACCCAAACTGGACAATCCTGCTTTAAAAAGAGCAACATTTTCTCATGCAAAATCCAGAACTCTGTACATGTTTACACTGGTATTCATACTAACCCGTCCTATTAACTTTTAATGGCAGCAGCTTCATGGATGTGTAAAAAAAAACACCTCAAAAGGCACTTTAGCTTCTCAGATATATGTGTTTTGGCACAGAATCCCAAGCTACAGCACACAGGTGCACCGTAAACTACAGGCGCAATTAAACAGGTAATATTTACAGGGAAAGACAGGAACGTACCCAGAAAAAAATAAACACTTACTGTTTACTGTACTGGTGCGAGAAAGTCAGTCTGTGTGATTCGGTTTTATACGCTGGCGTATCTGGCAGCATATTAATGGCTTTAAATGGCCATTTCAGAGAGGCAGCTGTATGACAGAAACATTTAAAGCAATGTTGATCACGGCATCACCATATATAGTGGAAAGTAACTGGACACTTAGGCATACTATAAAATGCCTGCATGTCATTGCATTAGATCAAATCTGCAAATGGGCTCAAATTCATTTTTAGTGACTATATGAAGTCCACAGGTGAACTCTCCAGCTAAAAGGAAACGTTCTCAATGTTCTTCCGGTAACGTTAATAGAACATTTGTTTAAAGTTATCTAAGGTGCGTCCTAAATCGCATACTTATGCACTATGATGGTATTTTTTAGTATAAATAGTGCGAGTAGTGCATTCACACTGAAAACGTGCACTTTAAATACCCGGATGATGCACTTAAATAACCGAAAAAATGAAGTGTGGAATGTTGGACACTTCATGAACCCGACTGTCTCAGCTTTAATTATGTAGCGAAGCGGGAGGGGCTATCAGACTCCGATTATGAATGACAAAATAACCTTATATAATTCATGCACTACATGGTTGAGTACATAGTGCATAAGTACATATGTGTACATAGTGTATGAGTGCATAGTGTATAGTGCGTCATTTGGGACGCAGCTCTAGACTTTGAAGGGATAATTCACCCAAAATTCTGTCATCATTTACTCAACCTCAAATTCTTTCAAAACATGTATGAGGGTATGTTTACATGACAACGATGTGTTAAAACTGAAACGTTTTTCCTTTGTGTTTTCGAAAAGTTTCGCATACAGAAATGTTCAAAAAACTATGCTGTTTATTTACATACCAGACCAGTAGTTGGCGATGTCGCTTTATAAATTGTGCGAATGTGTACCTAGACTAAACGCATAATACACATGACGTCGCCATTTTAAAAAATCCACGTCTTTGTATGGGACAATGACGGTTTTCAAACAAAAACAAAAAAACTTTGAACTTTTTTTCAGACCCCCAAAAGCCGTTGTCGTGTAAATGAAAGGCCAAAAACCCCATTGACTTCCATAGTATGAAAGAAAAATAATACTATGGAAGTCAATGGTACAAACAACTGTTTGGTTACCAACATTCTTTAAAATAGGTTCTTTTGTGTTCAGCAGAAGAGAGAAACACATATAGGTTTGGAACGACATGATAATGAGTCGGAGAAAGAAATACGTTTCGATTTTTGGGTGAACTATCCCTTTAATCATGCTCTCGAAACGTTAGCACAAATCATCTACACATTGTTTTCTGAAACGTTTTAGTTGGACGTTTGTCTAACTTTTTTTTAAATTTTTTTAATGTAACTGCTTTTTTCAGAATGTTCAAAAAAGTAACATTCCCAAAATGTTTGCTAAACGATAAAATGGATTGTTCTCCTAACATTCGCATAATACACATGACGTCGCCATTTAAAAAAATCCACGTCTTTGTATGGGACAATGACGGTTTTCAAACAAAAACAAAAAACTTTGAACTTTTTTTCAGACCCCCAAAAGCCGTTGTCGTGTAAATGAAAGGCCAAAAACCCCATTGACTTCCATAGTATGAAAGAAAAATAATACTATGGAAGTCAATGGTACAAACAACTGTTTGGTTACCAACATTCTTTAAAATAGGTTCTTTTGTGTTCAGCAGAAGAGAGAAACACATATAGGTTTGGAACGACATGATAATGAGTCGGAGAAAGAAATACGTTTCGATTTTTGGGTGAACTATCCCTTTAATCATGCTCTCGAAACGTTAGCACAAATCATCTACACATTGTTTTCTGAAACGTTTTAGTTGGACGTTTGTCTAACTTTTTTTTAAATTTTTTTAATGTAACTGCTTTTTTCAGAATGTTCAAAAAAGTAACATTCCCAAAATGTTTGCTAAACGATAAAATGGATTGTTCTCCTAACATTCAAACAACCAAGGACAGACGTTTCTCAAACATTTAAAAAAACTGAACGTTTTGAACATTCAGAGAACCTTCAGAAATAATGCTTTCATAACTTCATGGGAACGTTATTAAAACATTCTTAGAACATAATTTTGGTTAGCTAGGTATGAACGTGATCCACAGTCTGACAACCAGAACGCGTCCAAATACAGTGTCCAGTTGTTTTAGCATTTAATACCTAAAAAAGCTTATTTCAGTGAAATGTTTTATCGAGAAGTGTGCTTATTCTATCTGTTTTGGTTATACAAGCCACTTGGTTTGATGTTTCGTTGTTTTGTAATGACTTTCACACATTTTTGCATGTTTAAAGTACCGCTTTTGGGGGCCACCGTCAACTCAAAATCAGGCTTGGGAAGCCGTTCTAATTTTTTTAATGTAACTGCTTTTTTCAGAATGTTCAAAAAAGTAACATTCCCAAAATGTTTGCTAAACGATAAAATGGATTGTTCTCCTAACATTCAAACAACCAAGGACAGACGTTTCTCAAACATTTAAAAAACTGAACGTTTTGAACATTCAGAGAACCTTCAGAAATAATGCTTTCATAACTTCATGGGAACGTTATTAAAACATTCTTAGAACATAATTTTGGTTAGCTAGGTATGAACGTGATCCACAGTCTGACAACCAGAACGCGTCCAAATACAGTGTCCAGTTGTTTTAGCATTTAATACCTAAAAAAGCTTATTTCAGTGAAATGTTTTATCGAGAAGTGTGCTTATTCTATCTGTTTTGGTTATACAAGCCACTTGGTTTGATGTTTCGTTGTTTTGTAATGACTTTCACACATTTTTGCATGTTTAAAGTACCGCTTTTGGGGGCCACCGTCAACTCAAAATCAGGCTTGGGAAGCCGTTCAACTGCTCAAGTCCAGAGAGAGTCAAAGTCTTTCAGTAGCTGTCTTTGGTTGTGCGTCAGCATGGCTGCGTTTAGCTAGTCGTCATTGCTTCTGACGGAGACGGAGGGGCCTGTTCTTGCTCCGGGGTTTCTGGACAGACGGATTCAGACGTAGCAGACGTACTGAGATCTTGAGGTTGAAATTGGAAGACCTCCTCTTCCACTTCGGCTGGTTGCATCTCATCCTCCGCTAGTTTGGCCGCCAGCCGTTCCTGGGCCTCGATCTCCTCTGTGGTTGGGATGGAGTTCTTCTTAGGTCGGCCTTTGGGCTTGGTAGGAGCCTCGAGTCCTCCTTTTAGCACCTAGAGAAACATGGACACACATGAGCTGTGAAAAATGTGGGCCTAGTCAAAGGTGAGGATGGTTATTGCAGTGATTAAGGGAAGATATATAGCCATATGGGCTGGGTGTTTACGCCCGTTTATCTGAGAGGTGAACGTTCTGTTGATCTTTTGTTCCTGCTTGAGAGGTTGATCGCGCTGACGTAGACCTGCACTGTCCTTTAAATCATCACTCGCGCAACCAGCAGCCCGGGGTCGTCATTGTTACATGCACTGATTGTATTGAGTGCTGAGGAGGGCAGCTCAAAACTGTCTAATGGATTTTTAATGATATGTCTCAGAGTTTCCATTTCCACACTCAAAGCTTTGGTGGATTTTCAACACAGATGTTTTATTGATACAAGATGACAGTATTTTAATGAACTAGGCTCGCAAGGTAGACGGTCCTTGCGGCGTTAGCCTTGAGCGAGCTCTTCTGACTCACCATTTTTTTCCATTTCATGCGTCTGTTCTGGTACCATGTCTTCACCTGGAGCTGTGTGAGTCCCAGAGACTGAGCCAGGTCCAATCTGCACACACGTACAGTAAAAGCACGAGTTCAGAAAAGTGCATAAATCAAACACAAATGAAAGGTTAGTATTTTGTTCCAAATCCTAATGAGCCGCCTACGGAGGGAGCATTTGAAAGGCATAATTGTAGATCAAAGTTTGTTTTCAAAACTGAGTAGTTTAGACAAAATGTGGGGAAATATATATGTATGCACCTTAAAGGCATATGTTTAATTTTAGAGTATTGCATTATTCTTATTGTGTCACCTTTATTAAATTCAGTTGTGAATCTAAGTTTTCTAAGCACCTTATGCAAGGAGCACTATTTCTATGACAGTTACTGCCTAAAAATCTAGTGCAGGAAGTCAGAAACAAACCGGAGCTCAGTGCAAAAATTCAAATAATTAGAATATGGGGGGACGTTGTAAATTGTATATATATATATATATATATATATATATATATATATATATATATATATATATATATATATATATATATAGTG